TCCCTCTCCCACTCCCCCTGCTTGTGTTCCCTCTCTCGCTGTGTCTCTCTTTGTCAAATAAATAAAATCTTAAAAAAAAAAAAAAAGACTTCAGTGGAGGAAATAAGTGCAGATGTGGTAGAAAAAGCAAGAGAACAAGAATTAGAAGTGGAGCCTGAAGATGTCACTGAATTGCTGCAATCTTATGATAAAGTTTTAATAGATGAGTTGCTTCTTCCTGATGAGCAAAGAAAGTGTTTTTTGAGATGGAATCTACTTTTGGAGAAAATTATGTGAAGATTGGTGAAATGACAACTAAGGATTTAGAAGATTACATAGCATTAGTTGATAAAGCAGCAGCAGGGTTTGGGAGGATTGACTTTAATTTTGGAAGAAATTCTACTGTGGGTAAAATGCTATCAAATGTAAAATGCTATCTCATGCTGCTGAGAAACTATTCGTGAAAGGAAGAGTCAACTGATTTGCCAAGCTTTACTGTTGTCTTATTTTAAGAAATTGACACAGCAATCCCAACCCTCAGTGGCCGTCAACATCAAGGCAACACCCTCCACCAGCACAAAGATTCCAACTCTCTGAAAGCTCAGATAATGGTTAGCATGTTTTAGCAATAACGTATTTTTTAATTAAGGTATGTACATTTTTTAGACATAATGTTATCACTCAATAGGCTACACTATAGTGTAAATATAACTTTTATATGCACTGTGAAACCAAAAAATTGATCTGACTCTATTGCAATATTGGCTTTATTGCAGTGGTCTGGAACTAAACCCACAATATCTCCAAGGTATGCCTGTAGCTTCTCTTACTTTATTTGGTTGAGGAATTTTTGCCATACCTACACCAAAGTTCAGCTTCTAGATATGGCTTTTAATTTTTTTTATTTTTTAAAGAGAGAGAGAGAGCACAAGAAGGGAGAGTGGCAGGCAGAGGGAGAAGCAGGCTCCCCGCTGAGCAAGGAGCCCAATGTAGGACTAGATCCCAGGACCCTGGGATCATGACCTGAGCCGAAGGCAGACACTTAACTGACTGAGCCATCCAGGCATCCCTAGATACGACTTTTAGAATCTGTGTTCAGATCTGAAAAGTTAAAATGAATTCTTTGGTTTGCTTTCAGGATACATCTTAATGATATTCCTGCAAGATAGTACTTTGCTAATAGTGCCACTTACTTCATTTGTAGTCAGATACTCTTGTCATGCATTCTAAAGAAATTCCTTTACCTCTGTGATGGAAGATTCCATAACGGTTATCCCTTATTGACCACTTGCTATATACCTGGTATACTAACTGTTTTGCATATATTAATTCACTTAATCTTCACAGTAATACCGTGTGGTTGACATTAACCTGCATTTTATAGATAAGGAAACTGAAATTTAGAAATGTCGATTAAGTTGCTCCAAGTCTTCTAGTAACTGGCGAGAGGTAGAATCAAATCTCGCCGATGCCGAAGTTCAGTGCCACCAAGCTGTGCCTTCTTCCCACCCCGTTGTGACTTCTAAGAGCGCCCTGTGAAAGGGAGATAATAAAATGGAAGGAGAATGTTTGGAGAAGAGCAGGGTGGAGTCACTGGGATCAGAGTTGTCCTGGCAAGTCTGGGGTGTGTATGTGACTGCCTGTAGTCTTCAGAGCCATCACTGACCAGTAGCAAAATGTTTGCTGTGGGGACAAGACTTTAGTTGGCTCCCCTCCCCTCTGCCTCCACACCCCCAACCACTGGCATCACTCTGACCTGCTGAGAACATGGAGAGTGGCTCCAGGGCTGCCGAGGGATGTGGGAATTGGGGAAAGGCAGTGCTGAGCAGGAGCATGGTCCAAGACCAACTTCGAAACAAGAGACCAGAATCCTCAGGGGGAAAGGAACCACTAAAGCAAAAGATGACCCCCACCAAAAGCTCCCTAAAAGTAAGGAGGCCTGGGGGGCAATAGTAACTCCAAACCATTTCATTGGAATTGGGATTAAACAGTCACTGTGATAAAATGTGCTCTTCGAAAACACATCTTGCTAGAGAGAAGCCAAGAAGAGGCAATTCTACAAACTGTGACCTCATCTACAGCACCATCATCTTGATTTGCAAGTCCCTTAATAGTCAGAGGGTCAGATGTAGTCTGACCTGGATTTGATCCTTTGGGTGCATTCTCTTCTTGTATGGGTATAGTCATAGTGATTGCTGCAAATGGAAACATTTAGAAACATTCAGTGGTGTATCCTCTCAGACCTATGTCAGTGTTGAGAAGCGCCCATTCTCCAGGCAGCTCTGAAGATGTATTTCTTAGGTTATATAAATCATTACTCATCTTGTCTCATTTTTATTTCGTTCCTGATACACCAGTCAGCACGTTGAATTCATTGTAACTTACTTGTGCATGTGGGCAGGGAGATTGGATTACTAAACATGGATTTTAAGTAAATTGTATAAAATTAGCTAAGTGGAGAAATAAGGCACTCAGCTACTTCTTTGATATTAAGCAAGTATGTGATTGATATTGAGCAAAAGATTTTCATTTGCGACCCTGAAGCAAAGCATGTTCATTTTTTTAAATGTCTAGGTTGCTAGATCTTTATTTAATATTTAAAAAGTATTTTTGAAAATAAAGAAGCATACAAAGGATAATATAACACATTCATATTCCCACCACTTAGAATTAACTGTTAACATTTTGCTACATATTCAATATTTTATAATAAAAAAAACAAAATATTATAGATAAAAGTGAAATTCTATTTGACCCAATGCCATCTCTTCTTCCATTTTTTCTAGTGATAAGCTCTATCACAAAACTAGTGAGTATCTTTCCAGTCTCTATATAAATATAGGTAGGTGTTTGTATGTGTGTTTATACACACATGCACGCGTCCATGAACAATACTGTTTTGTGAATACTGTTTGTATATGTACCACATACACAGTAACAACAGTAGGAAACCTATAGTGAGTGATTACACTGTGCCTGGAGCTGCAGTAGAGATAGTCTCAGTCCTTTCAATGACTATGGAGCAGCACTATTATTATTAGAGGTTACTTGCCCGGGGTCACACAGCCTGGCCAAGAATTAATCCCACCATCAGGCTCTGGAGCCCGAGCTCTTGACATCATGCTAGATGGCCTCCTCAATATATCACTCTACAGAATTCTTCACTATCTCAGTACCATGTTTCTGATATCTGTAATTGTTGAGTTTGTAAATCTAGTTCATTCCTTTTCACAGTTATACCATATTCCACTAAATGAGCATAGTATATAAGCAGCATTGTAAGATGGTTAGGACCTATAAAATAGCAATATCGAAAATTTCCATCTCACCAGGCCAGGTGAGAATTAAATGGTTGAATTCAAATAAAGCAGATAGAATGGTACCTAGTACTGAGTAAGCACCCAATAAATGTTAGCTGGTATTATTTGCTGTTATCATCTATCTGTTATTCTAAGGATCATAATCATTAGGTTGTTTCCAATTTGTCATTATTGCATATATTGCCCCAGAGAAAGCCCTGTGTCTACATATGTAGGTTTCTTCTTGTTCTCTCCCTAGAAGGAACTGATGGCTCACAGGGTGTGCATGTTCTCAGTTTCACCTGATATTGCCAAAGCCAGCTCTGCCAATCTACACTCCTCCCTAATGAACTGTTTGGCACTTCCCATTTCCCCATGTCCTCAATGAGAGTTGATATTGTGTAACTACTGGATGTGCAAATATGATGCTATAATTCATATACTGTGAAGTTTGCCCGTTTAAAGTGTGCAGTTTGGTGGTTTTTAGTATATTCACCAGGATGTGCCACCATCACCACAACCTAATTCTAGGAGAAACCCCTTTAACCCATTAGCAGTCAGTCCCCCCTGTCCCCCACCCCAACCTCTGGTTTGTCATCCAGTTTCAATCTCTATAGATTTGCCTATTCTCAACATTTCCTATAAATGCAATCATATGATATGTAGATTTTCGAGGCTCTTCCATGCTGTGGCGTGTATCAGCACTTCGTTCTTTTTCGTGGCCCAGTAATATTCCACTGTGTGGATAAACCACATTTTGTTTATCCATTTCTGTTGTTTCTTCTTTTGGCAATTATGAATAATGTTGCTATAAACATTCATATGAAAATTTTTGTATGAACATATATTTTCATTTTCTTGAATGTGCCAATATATTTATATACCTAGCCATGGAATTGCTGGGTCATATGAAAACTATGCTTAACATTTTGAAACACTGCCAAAGTGACTACACCATTTTCTAATCCCCTCAGCAATGTATGAGGGCTCCAATTTCATCCACCTCTGTACCTACTTGTTACTATCTTTCTTTCTAATTCCAGCCATCCTATGCAGTGTTATCTTGTGGCTTTGATTAGTATTGCCCTGATGACTAATGATGTTGAGCATCTTTTCATAGGCTTATTAGCCTTCTGTATGTCATCTTTGGCCTGTTTTTTCACTGGGCAGTTTGTCTTTTTATTGGAGTTATGAGAGTTCTTCATATATTCTGAATACAAGTCCCATATTGGATATATGATTTACAAAGATTGTCTCCCATCTTATGGGTTGCCTTTTTACTTTATTGACATGAATTGGTATATTTTAATATTTGTAGTTTTCATATGTTTCCTCAAAACTGTCAAAATTTTCAAAATTGTCTCTGTATTATCTACTGAGTGGATCACAAGCCAGAGAGCCTTGAAGTGTTCTGAGAGTAAAGTGAGTGCACCTAGCATACCATAGACCCGAAGAAGCTCCTGCATTGGTCACCTGAGGTCATCTAGGTGAGACCCTCAGCCAGTGAAGGAAATTCAGTTTTGATAATCTAGAAAACATGCCTTCACATCTGATTAGAGTTCAAATTTGATCATTTAAAGGCATTGAGAACCCATTCTTTATTTCCAAACTGTCAGTTGGTTAATTCAAAAGCATTTGGATACTGTTTAACCTGGCCTCTTTCTCTCTCTCTCTCTCCCCCTTCTGCCCCTCTCCCCTCCCCACTCCCTGTTTCGATTTCAGATTGAAAATGGCTCAGGAATCAGTCAGCAAGCTGACATCAGAGAAGAAAGTGGAGACAAAGAAAATCAATCCCACGGCTAGTCTGGTGAGACGCATGTTTCAACATAACCTCAAGATTTTTCATTATAACTGAGGTGCATCTGGGAGTGTGTCTGAATTTAAAGGATAAAACTCAGAGGAATGAGTAGTATCCAGATTCTCAGTTCCCATCCCAGAGTAGCCTAGGTAAGAAGGGAGTGAGGAACAAAACACGACTTACTGTGTTCTCCCAGCAAACCCAACACAGATCATTTCCTGATCAAGCAAATTTAGTCACTTGCCATCTCACACCCTTCCACACCCCAGGCCAGCATCCCCTTATGTCAAAGCACATTTCTCCTGAAATAGTTGAGCATTTAAGAAAGGGGTAGAGATTATACTCTTTAGATAATTGGGAAAACCGAGATGCAGAAAGATACAGCCTACCTAGGATCACTTTGCAAATGAGTAACAGAGACCAGCCCAGACTCTTGATCCCCTGACGTCTCTCCAGGAGCTAGAAACTTGGAGGCTAGTCCGTCTTCCCAGCTGTGGGAAGTCCATAGTACCATTCGGGAAGGTTCACAATGAGGCTCTACCTATACGTTAGAGACAGTAGTCGGAATAGCTAAATGGTTAGGAACCCAAAGTGTTGGGGTTCAAATCCCAGCTTAGCCACTTACTAGTTGTAAAACCTTCATGAAATTACTTTGCTTATTTTGGGAAAAGAGAGAAATAATACTACCTTTGCTTTAGGATGATTTTGAGGAAACGGAGAGACATAGAAAATGTCTGGCGTATAATAAGCGCTTAAAAATGTTGGCTGTTTTTCTTGTTATTACAAATTTTGGCAGCATTTGTTGGCACTTCCCTAGAGAACAGCAGTGAGTGGTAAATGGGAGTATTGCTCTCCTCAGTTTGATTTTCAGACCCTACCTCCCCTGTGCCCTGGTATCCCACAGCTACTTATTTTTATCCTTTTGAATTACAAGGACCATTTGCCAGCTCTTTAAACTTTTTGACCGTCTAAGTGAGGTTTAAGTTGTGAAGTGAGATTTTCTTTTTTCTGCTGATTGGTTAGGGTGTCTCTCATAACAGCCCCATCAGCAGCTAAATGAATGTTGAGTGAGATGTGGAGAAGTCGGGGTCCTACAGCTTGAGCAGGAAAAGCTGCAGTTAGTGCACGTAGCTCCTGAATGGACACATCCTCTGTGCCCCTTCAGTGGTGTATTCAGTACATTCACTTGTATGATTTTCGGTAGCAATGGGTTCAACCCTGACTTTTGTCTTCCTCGTTAGTCCTCCTACACCCCTTTCCCCAGCCCCCTTATTTGGGCCTCTATCCTAACTTTTATGGCCAAATCTTATTTCCAGGGACACAGAATGGATTCAGCCCTGGAGACAAAGGGGAAACAGTGGGTTTATTTACTGTGGCATTATTTATTTATTTATTATTTATTTATTTTAAGATTTTGTTTATTTATTTGACAAAGAGAGACACAGCGAGAGAGGGGACACAAGCAGTAGGAGTGGGAGAGGGAGAAGCAGGCTTCCCGCTGAGCAAGGAGCCCGATGCAGGGCTCGATCCCAGGACCCTGGGATCATGACCCGAGCCGAAGGCAGAAGCTTAACGACTGAGCCACCCAGGCACCCCTACTGTGGCATTTTTTATAGGTGACCTCCACTGTGAGCTAGCTCCCAGTTGCAGTCCTCAACTTGATAGGGTTGTTTCTTTTGTTGTTTATTTGGGTGGGAATTCAGGAAGAGCTCGTAAACTGATTCCTGATTCAAGTTCACAAGTCAGAGATGGGATCCAAACTCAGGATGGGTGTTTAGAAATCACCAGCTTGAGGGGCGCCTGGGTGGCTCAGTTGTTAAGCATCTGCCTTCGGCTCAGGTCATGATCCCAGGGTCCTGGGATCGAGCCCCACATCGGGCTCCCTGCTTAGCAGGAAGCCTGCTTCTCCCTCTCCCACTCCCCCTGCTTGTGTTCCCTCTCTCGCTGTGTCTCTGTCAAATAAATAAATAAATAGAATTTTTAAAAAATATTTAGAAATCACCAGCTTGAGTTTACATGTAGGCCACTTTAGTAACTCAGTGCATCACATCTCATAGATCACAAGCAGCTGAGGATCTGTTCACAAGGGGCCTCCCCATGCAAAGGAGTATACCTCTTCCATTTCTTTTTTAAAAGCCTTTTATGTGCTCACTCCAAGAGGGGATACACCCATTCTCACTATGCTTAATATTTTATTTCTCTAAAGTCCTAGAATGGTGAGGATCCATGCTTCTGTTTTGTATTTTCTTGTCTGTATTTATATCTTGCCAGCAGCCTTTCATGTCCTTCGTCTTTAGAAGGCTATCCCTGGGCAGGAAGCTCAGGGAGAGCAGAGCAGAACATCCATGGTAAAATGGGAGTTTCCTCCATGCTACGTGGATGGATTAAATCTGCTCCTCTTCCATTTTGCATAGCCTTTGTTCAGTTCCACCATCTTGACCATACGCAGATGTATTCAGCTTGGAAACAGTGATTTTTTCCTATCTAGACTCCCCAGAAACTATTTCTTAAGCATTCCCTAATTCCATTAGTAGACTGAGCATGGGGGTAGGAGGAATCTTCGAGTAACTGCAAACTTAGGACCTTTGTCACAGAGGAAGAGAACAGACCAGCCTCGCATGGTAAAGGTCAGTCTTTTAGATGGATATCATTGATTGATTAGCTGGTTATTCATTGTTTTTGGAAAGTAAGGGGAATAGGTTGGGAGGAGCAGGTAACAGGATTTCAGGAAAGAAGGATAGAATTACTCTCATTTCTACGGCATTGAGTACAGCTCTATTCATCATTCTAGGCCAAAACTTTGAGAAATTTATCAAAGTTTGAGAAAGATGAAAATTAAGAACAAAGAATGATAATAAACTCCTCTTTTTTCCTCAAACAACAGAAAGAAAGACTGCGTCAGAAGGAAGCCAGCGTGACCACTAACTAACACAGAGCCATGTGAGAATGACAGCAGCAAGATGCATTTTCTTGCATCGTCTTTTGCAACACTAGTGCTGCAGGAAGTTCTTGGAAGCTACGCCACCAAATGTTGGTTTTGCTCATCTCTTTCTGAGGTCATTGCAGTAAGCACCTCGTGCCTTCTTAAGGGAGTCCCTTGTTAAGCCACGGGAACAATGAGAAATTGTTTAAGGGAACATTGTAGGGATATTTGATGATTGTTTCTTGTAGAGGTCCAAAGTCATGCCATTACAACACCAGAAGAAATACCAAGATTTTCCAAATGTGTTTAAAAGTGGAGATTTCAAGCTTTCTAACCCAAGCTTGATATATATAAACTTGTGACAGAAAAAGAGAAGGATCTTTTATGACAATTGCCTTAAGAGGATTCGAGCCTTGATCTTTCCACACTGCTGGTGTGACTATTGATCTTAATTTTGATCCTGTTGTGGCAAGATCCTACAGTATTTTTCTCACCAAAAATGTTGAAACTTACCAAAATTATTTTTTAAGACATCCAAGACTATGGATTTTCCAGAGGAGAGAAATGGTTATTTTGTTGTTGTTGTTGTTGTTGTTGTTCATATAATGGAAAGGACAGAAAATGGAATTGTACATGGGTAGAGAGGGAGTTAAATAGCCATAAACTTCACCCTGGAGAAGAAATTACTGTACGGGGAGTTGACATCAGCTGTTAAGCAAGACCCATTCTTTTGTTTTTATGTGAGTTCATTGTGGTTTCCTTGTCCAGCAGAAATTCTCTACCCTTATTCTTGAAAGAAACAGTGATACCCAAGCCAACACAGGCTTGGAGGTCAAAGTACCTGCTTGGGCAAGTGGCCCAGTCCCAGCACATTTCACATTTCAGAATGTTCGTGAATGGGTAAGGCCATGTTGGCATTCAGCTGAGCTCTGCATCATGTTCTGGGACTGTGTGTGTCTGTACCTCTCCCACCAACCTCAGGAGGCAATTTCCAGACAAGAGAGCAAATGCTACTCACAGCCTTTCATCATGACACTGACAGGCGTGTGACCTAGGGTGAAGCAGGAGTCTTTGATGTTGAAAAAATTAAGACCATAAAAAAGATTCTTTACATCAAAATGAAAAGAAGGTGATTACATTAATATTAAGCTTTGAGTGGAATATCATGGACAGGCAGCTTTTTCTGACGCTGGGAGCCCATATGATCGCTGCCCCTTGAATCACAAGGGAAACCACCTTGGACCTCTCCCCTGACATTTTTTTCCTTAAGTCACCTCTCTTCTAATCTATCTTGTGAGAGGAGAAGAGAGAGGACTGGGCTTGAATTGAGAATAGGATCAAAGACTATCCATTTTCGGCCTTGAAGGGAAAGAGGTCCAAGCCTTCTCCAGTTGGTGGATGACAGTCTAGAGGTGGGTAAGAACCTTAAAACCCTTCCTGATTGGGCTGCCATGTGTGGCCTTGCCCCCGGCCCCAGCCTTTTCCCAGAACCTCTCAATTTGCCAGGTACCTGAGTGTCCCCCCAGGACTGCCTGCTAATCATCAGTCCCCTCAGGGACTCCCTAATAGAGTCAGCTAATTAAAGCAGCCCTGTATTCTAATATAATGCAGTCAGGATCAAATCAAATCACAGAGGCCATATTTGTGCAGGTGTTAACCACCTTCTCTAATAATTCAAAAGAAAGGAATATGGTAGCATGGTTGGGTCTTTTTTTTTTTCTCCCCCCAATTCAAAATAAGAGATGAGACAAGCAAAACAAAAAAGCTGGTAAGGAGCTGATATTACTAAAAGAAGTTGCTCGTGAGCCAGAAGCTTTCCATACTGCTTTCTTATATTGTTTCTCTTCATTTTCACTCAACTGTGAAGAAAACCTAAGAAATTCATTGATTTAAAACAAATTCCACTTACAGTCATCCTGTGCTCTGGGACATTCCTTCTAATTTTATCGTGCAGAAGAAAAGTGCCTGTCTTTTCCATGCTCGGGGGACCAACTCTGAGTTCAGTGAGATCAACATATGTCTAGATCCTCATTGGTTCCCACAGACTTGATGGGCGAGCGCAGCATGTGCTTTCAGTGGAGTCACTGGTCCACTTCAGGTCTCTAAAGAGGATACTCACAAGAAAATCACTGACAGTAAACAGGCCTGTCACTATGGCCACATAACCCTGCAAGAACATGCTCTCAGGGAACCAGTGCTGAAGAAGAATGAGTGGAAATATTTAATGTGAGAATTAGACAAAGGCAGCCCAAGTTGGATTCCATTCACATGGACAGATTAGCCACTGGCAGTAAAATGCCTATTTCTAAAGACTATACTTTGCCTGCTCTGTTGGTAAACCTGGCGATTTTGTCAGACTAGTTAAATATAATAAGTTAGTGCATTAAGACACTAGGGCAGAATCTCCATTATTCTCACCCATTTTGGGTCCTGCATTGTGTATCTGGATGCCCCCTCCATACATTCACTGCAGTGTTGGCACAGCCTTTGTTTCTAACGGAAGTCGATGCTCAGTGAAATTTCACAAGAGCTTGTTCAAGGTGGGCCATCTAAAACAACCTGGAGCCCCTTGAAATTATCCCTCTAAAATGCAATTGAGATTATGGTCAAATGCAACAGCTGTCTCTAAAGGTTTCATAGAGAGGAAGTAGTTAGTATACCACTTAAGCAGCTTGAGCATTTCAGGCAAGCAGGGTTTAAGTGGCTTTTCTAAGAACAGCCTTCCCCAAACTAGAGAGAGAGTGGCCAGTATTGCTACTCTGTGTTTAACCAGACACTCACACCCAACTTTACTAGTCAGGCTCTGAAAAACCTTGACTTAGAAGCAACATCGTCTCTTCCTAGCCAGGAGTCATTACATCTGAGGACATGGTTGGATAGCAGTTTAGACTCTTGCATGAGTAACCTGCAATCATCATCAAGCATGCAAGTATATCATATATTACACTAAAACATGATATAAACATGTTAGGTGAAAAGCATCAGGCCTGTGAGACGTCAAAGATGAGGTTAGAAGGAGGTGTACTGTATGGCTTTTAACACAAAAGGCAGCTTAATGGTGCGGGTAGGGGCGGAGGGCACAGAAAGAGAAAAGTGTGGCCAAGCAGAAATAGATGATCATGATGATGATGGACCTGCTGCCTTTTGAATCCTTGAGTTGACATGTCTCTTCAAATGCCCACCAAAAGTACCTAGGAATAATGGAAAAACAATTTCTGAAATCTGGGAAGTAGAATAAAGAAACCCAGCTGTGTGAGTACATCTTTAAATGTTCTAGCCAAAACAAATTGGCAGTATGGTTGAGGAATCAATTGCCAGATTGGGTGCTAGTCTTGGACCCCTCTTACCCCCCAGTAAGCTACTGAGCCCCCCCTTAGGCACCTCTTTTTTTTCCTAAGAACCATAAGGAAAGGCATTTCCTAAATGAACAGCTTATATGATGCTGGTGGAGAAACTGGAGAAACTGAAGGAAGGAATGAAACTCTGGGGGTGGTATTGGAAACCTCCTTGCTACGGTTCTTCCAAGGACCAGGATTGGATGTAGCAGAAGAGTCATGTTATTTTTGGAAAAGATTTGCCTGTTGGCCTGGGATTGTACATCTCTCTGTAGATTATACTGTGCACAATGGGGCATTTTCATGTTAATTATATTCTTGCTTTCTCGAATGTTGTATTTTCTCATTTCTGTTTCTGCTTCTCCCTTGCCTGACATCATAGACACAGATCACTGCACACAACATTGCATGCAGCAGTATAGCCTAAGACAGCGCCTAGTCCAAGTATCAAGGGGAATTAGCAATGCAGACCTGCAGCCTCTTTCCCTGTGTACCAGACTATAACCTTAAGAGGAAAACCTCTTCGTTCCCTGACTTCCTAAATCAGCTTATTTTGTAGTACTCTCCCTTCCTCAAATAAAGATAAAACCAACTTGGGGCTTTCTGTGTCAGGGAGGAGAAAGAAGTCCAAAATACATAGCTTTTTTTCCCAAAAAATATCTGGTCCAAATATCAAATATATCATTTTATAAAGTAGATTTGTGCATTATTTTCTTTGATTCTGCCTGTTCTTAAAAAAAAAAAAATGACCAAAAGCTGGAAGGGAAAGAAAAAGCATCAGATTTGGTAATTTGCAAATTAGTTTATTAATTTCTAATTAACAAAACATGGACATACTGTGAAATCCAATGTTGTGGAAATCCTGAGCACAGAAAAATTGGAACAGCTGTGCGAGCTGATGAGCATGGACAAAGTAAGAGCTCTCTGGGGCCTGCTTGAGACTTTAGCCTCAACCAGGCAATTTTTAGGGTTTGGATTCAAAAGAGTCGAAGATTGCCCTGAATAGTGTACTTTTTTAAAAGCCACATACAAGGAAAAGTGGTGTGATATAATGGAAGAAGTGGCCAGACCATTACACCATCCTTACTCTGCACTCTCTTAAGAACAGTTGATAAATGTGTGGAACATCTGGAAGGCCATCAAAACCACATTTCATATATCAGCTATTGTACCTTTAGGAACAATTCAGCTGAAGAAAGTGGGCTGAATGAAGGAATGAACTTTCATTCATGTCAGCTACTTTGTCATCATGAAGAAATTGGCAACACAAGAGAAACCAGGCTATGAGGCCAAACTAATAGTATTTAATATTTGAAAAGTATGAATCATTTTTAGCCTTGCCACAATGCAAGTAACTTCTTGGTTATGTTTCCACCTTCTAGCTACAGAGAAAAACAATCCAGCTGCTTGGAACCTTCCCTATTATTGGTGCAAAAGTCACTTAAAGAAAAGCACCTTTGGAAACTGGCCTCCGCATGGCTGGCTGCTTGCAGACACGCATCACAGTATTTATAACCCCATTAGCAATTGAATCCAGGCATCACTAGGCTCTTACTCACAGCTGAGAGTGTGACCAAGAGGCCCATTTTGTGTCATTTCTACACACACGTCAGTTGTTGACACCTTGTTAGAGCACTGAATGCTAGTTTCACAATTCTTCATTTCCCCTTCCAAGGAGTGGGCAATCTACCAAACCCTCCCAAATCGACTCTTTGCTGTGAAGGAGTGAATTCAAGAGCATTTTAACATGCAGGGTTGAAGCCAATTCAGTAGCCTTAGTTGTGCCAAGACTCTTAATCAACACTGTGATATAAACCTAGCATTTGGGAAATTTGTGTAGTTGACAACTTAATTGGAAATGTGAAGATATTAAAATGGCAGCCATCTAACTCTGTCTCTTAAAACCCTCGTGCAGCTTCTACCAGCAGAGATGTTAAGGAAGCAAATCAAGCCTCAGTCAGGAGACCAACTGTCCTCAAGGAGAGCTTACTAGGTTCGCTTCCCCTCTACTCCAGCCCCTCTCTCAACCAGCCTGGTGATAACTAGTAACACAAAAAAACCTCCTTTTCATCCTTCTCTTCTCTGGTATGATGGTTCACTTCAGTCAGGAGCTCAAATGAACTCCAGACTTTATTGCATATTACATCTATGAAGTACTTGTTCATGAATTTTGTCTGCATTCTATGATCTGGAGAAGAACAACTTAATCTCATTTTTTTTAATAGGGAAGTGGTAGCTAACACCATTAATTTATCCTTCTGTATTCCATCTATGCTCATATAACTTTCTGTTTTTTAATCTTCTCTTAAATGTACTAAGAAACACCAGTCTGCTTCCTTTTCTGAAAGCTAACCCAAATAGTTCTGGGAGCTATTTTTTAATGCTTTGTGTGAAATTTGATAGCATTGGGCTAGAAAAACGCAAATGAGCCCATAGTTTCCAGCAGAAATTCACCTCCCAAAAATTTGTCATTCTTCTCCATGGAGTAAGCAACTTCTATTATATTTAGGCTATTTTGTAGGCTGAGCATTTCCCTAAATTCTACCTGTGCAGACACCAAGGGGCTCTCTGTCTTTGAAACTGTAAGGAGGTCTTACGAGAGAGTGAGTATTTCTCCCCATATATATAGTGGGAGCCCCCAATATGTTATCTTATACTTTTCCTGCATTCATTCTTAGGCGTGCATTCACCGTGGTTTGTCAACATCTTTGGCAAAATTGTACTTCCTTTCCTTCATTATCCTCTTCCAGAGCTTGCTTCTATTCTTGTCTCATGAAACAAATGTATTTTCATTCATTCAACTGGGCCAGCTTTCCAAAATGAAAGGCTAGTTCCATAGACACCTGAGTATACAAGGAAATTATTCTCTACCTCCCCATGGCATGGACAATAAATGTGTTCAGGAATGAACAACTCTCTGGGAACTCTTGGGATGATTTTGAATTCCAGGGTTCTATGAGAGGCAAAAAAAAAATGGGTATGTAGCATACAAAAATTGTACTACTCTTCCCAATAAGAGGCTAGAAGGAGATTCAAAATCTTTACATCTTTGATAGGTTTGAGTGAACTATAAGTAGCTCATTTTTTTTTCCTTTCTTCTTGACAACTTGTTCCTGGCTATAATCTTACTTTTTCATATCTGACCCCCAACACATAAAGAAGGTGGTTTCAGCCTCACTGGGACTGCACTCTTCCAAAGACATCCATTTCCTTTGGAAACAAATCTGTGAGTGAGGGGAAAGTAGTGTAATTCTCCTGTCTGTCCAGAGTGACGTACGTAGGATTTTGGGGTCCACCAAAAGGATAGGTCTATCCCAAATCGTTAATTTTACAATTCTGTAATGCTTCAATTTCTCAAGACACAAATAATGTGACCCTACTGTTAGTAAAATATATAATCTTCAAAGAATATAAGCGTTATGAAAAAAGGACTTCCCTTTAAAGAAGAGTCTAAAACCCTCCTAAAAAGGCAGAAACTTATAAAATTCAAAATTGAACAATTTTTTTTAGAGAAAACATGTCATTGATTCATCATAGTTTTTTCCTCTCACTGAGTTTTAATTTAGACTAGCATGGGAAGCAGGGTGCCCCTGGACTTTGATTTAGGGGATCGTGCTTTGGCCTGGAAAATCAGCACTGAGCTGCTGCCCAGAACCTAAGTGAAATCAGTCAGCATCCTAATAGGAATCAGGCCTAACAAATGTAAATTACTTCAAGTCCTTTAGGGCTTAATTTTCTCAGTGACACCCTGGACCCCAGACACTGCTTCCTAAGATGCATTTGATCCATGTGGTGATGTCTCCATAGGGCTTGGGAGATTGTAAGCGATGGGATGTGGGAGTAGAGCAGGAGACGGGGAGAAGGAAATTTTGAACATGGCGGCCAGGGTGCAATGTTTTGCTGGTCTAATGCGCTGTTGGGAGGCTGGTGATTTTTGCCTTGCTTGTATCATGGATGACCTTTCAGTGGCAGCTCCAGGAATCTCATCAGGCAAATGAGAGTGTTCAGTATCTCCTATTGGTCAGTGCCTGACAATGTGCTGGGAAAGCAGGTACCCTAGTGAAACTGGCCTGTGTTCAGATTCATTCCCATAGGGCTGGTTGTGCATGGGTCTTCCTGTTTTGTCCACGCCTGTCCAAAACTCACTGTGGCACCTACTTCATGTCACTTTTCTCACTTCAGTACTTGTGCTTTGGCCTCCCCTTCCTTCAGAGCCCACGGCTTTTCCCCTCACTTTACCTTTATAGTTTCTCCAGAATCCAGCCTTAATTACCCCCTCCCTCCCTCCCCTCAAGCCTGATGCGCCATTCCCCAGCCCTTTGGACGGGGTGCTCTGCTGTCACCAAGTGAGACACAGCACTGTGACTGCCTCCTGTTAATGTCAGCATCACCTCATCACTTAGGCAAAGAGGGAAAAATCCATAAAAGAGATGGAAAATACATTTCTTTTTTCGTCTTATTCTCTATTTTAAGAAGGTCTTCGAAGGGAGGGTTCTAGGCCATTTCAGTTTCTCCTAGATTGTACTTTAAGCCTGTCTAATTAGGGACCATCCTTTGATAAGTTATAAATCAGTCCAGTCTCACCATCTAGGATGAGTAAGACTAAAGTTTTGAATCTGAAGGAACTTTTCTGTGCTGCTGGACAAATTGACTTAATTCTGTGCAAACAGTTTGAATCACAGGCTTTTTATTGCCACCCCATTCTTACTACTACTCATGATCCAAACATCTACACGAATCTGGATCAGGATGTTGACAATTTGTGGTTATTTTCAGATCAACAGTAACTGTTACACTCTTGAAAGTGCTTAAAAAGAAAGGGTAAGCATGTCCTGAGTAATCAGTCTTTGGACCTGGAAAAATTTGGCTTCTCTGTTAAATATTAGATCAATCTGTAGATGTAATCTTAAATTTTCAGCAATAATGAAGACAGTTTGGGAAACGAGAAGGCACTTTAAAGACATGAAACCTTACATTACATGCTCTTGGACATTTTTTAATATAATAAGCTAATTGGATTCAGGTATTTTTTCCCTTTAAATTTTTAAAAATATGTATTTCTAATTTGTTTGCATATTTAATTTTGTCAAAGCTGAGAAATGTTCATTAGTTGGATTTGTAAATGTCATTTGCAACCAAATGAAGTATTTATTTTTAAAAAGAAAGGGTGAAGGAACCAATATTGACTTGTACATAATGAAAATATATGTGTGTGTCTATATATATATATATATTTTTTTTTTTCTCCTTGACACTATTTGGTCACCACATCAAGTGTATTTTTGTACATAACATATTGGTTAGGAAATGTAGATTGTCTATTCAAAGAATTCTATCTCTGTGATAGATTATATTTATCCTAATCTGTTGATACTTCTGTAATTTGTTTTAAGAGATAGAACTCTATTTTTTGGAATTTGCAGAGAACTGCACTCATGGCTTCCAAATGTAAATATGATGAGAATATTTTAATAAATCTTGGTTTCACGCCTGCTGGTGTGTGGTGCAGATTTGTTTTCAAGAGAACTTTGGGCTGTCTCCCAACAGTACTTTCATATGGAGAATACCAGTCATCTGGAACGTTCCTTACTGATCAAGTGCAGTGTTATTACTGAGCTGCAAGAGCTGGGTCTTGGTAAGTCCATCCTGTTTCCTTCTTTCTCCCCTTTCCATCCCACCAACAGTGAGCAATCTGGCTTGGTGTTCAAGGCGAACCTGGAGCAGACAAGCCCAGCCAGGTACTGGCTCAGCTAGGCTGACCAGAACAACACTGCCTGAAGATAAATCGTCCAAGGTGGGGGTATATGGGCAGAACCACAAGTATGGATGACTTCAAGCTATGGGTTAGTAAACTATATACCAGGGAAACCGAACAGAAATATAACTGTATTGTGTTCTAGCACTAAGCACAAGATACAAATCCTTTTCAAGCAATGATAGGACACATGCAAGTATTTATGATCAAGAACCAAACGACTTTTGGCAAAACACTCTTCAATTTCAATAAAAGTGTGCTTGTGTGTTTTTAAATTTATTTACTCAGTGTTCCTAAATGCCGTGCACTCTTAAGGTCTAGAAGTTTGCTGAAATATGCCCCAATTTATACAGATACATTTCATGAACAGACACAGTTACTGTCTGGGGAGACATTTCATCACTGGGAAATCTTCTGAATCCTAGAGTCATAGAGTTGCAAAAATCTTCAGACATCGGATGAAATCTCCTATTTCACAGAGTAAAAACAACTGAAGTCCAAGGGACTTGCTGAAAATCACAGTTAGTGCTGGTGAACACATTAAGACTAGAATCCAAATCTCTTGACCCCAAGGCTAAAACCCTTCCCACTGCTTAACTCTTTCATCAGGTTAAACTGTTCTCTTCAAAATGCAGGTCTCCCCCTGCTATCTGACAATGGAGTATGCTCATGAAACTTTTCGTAGGCCCAAATGGCATAATGCAAAGAAGCAATTACCATTAATTTATATGGAAAATTATCTGAGCATTCCCAGACCCCAAAAACAACCTCTCTCGGACTTTTCTGATACCTCAGGACACATCTTGCTAACGGATGCACAAAATCAGTCAAGATAAAGCACAGACATGGTTCAAAGCTGTAATGGCTTGATGCTGAGATGCTGAGTGTAGTTCCTGGGGAAGGAGCTTGGTGGGGCCCCTCTCAGCTCACTTGCGTGCATGCTGCCTCTGTAAGGCTCACTGCAAAACAAATGCTAAATGCCATTTTTGCTTTTTGCTTTCTTTTTTGTAAAAGCGAAAATCTTCAGATTTTTTCTGAAGCAAAACCAAGTACTACTGTAGGTCTTTTGTGAAAAGCAAAGGGAAGTAACAGGAACTTCCAGAAAGTGGGGGATACCTGTACACTATTATGGAGAAATATTCTAGAACCGTTGTTTGAAAGAAAGGGTCCAAATGCTCCTAAAGGTTTGTTGAAGCCATTATTAAAGTTGTGTTCTGGGGCGCCTGGGTGGCTCAGTCAGTTAAACTCTTGATTTCAGCTCAGGTCATGTCTCAAGGTCGTAGGATCGAGCCTTGTGTCAGGCTCCATGCTCAGCAGGGGTCTGCTTGAGATTCTATCTCCCCTTCTGTCTCTGCCCCTCCCCCTGCTCACTCTCCCTCTCTCTAAAATAAATATTGCTTTTTTAAAAAACTAAAAATAAAGTTGTGTTCTGAATTAGAGTGCCTAGCAGAGGGCAAAGGCCTGAGTATCAAGGAACCTAGGAAAAATATCAGTCTACCTTAGGAAGAATCTCCTCTCCGGTTTAATCAAGGTTTATTCTCCCTTGCTGAGTGATAGCTGTTGAATTTATAAGTATACTTTTTTGCCTATTCTTTAAATAGTCCATGTATGCTGATGGCCCAACTAACAGGCCATAAATTTCTGAGGCTAAATATTCCATTTCAGACTCCCGCTGCCCACTTCTACCTGCCTGTGATGTATTCATGGAAATAAAAGACTTGACAGTTGGCCTGCACTGGCCCGGCCTGCAATAGATGCCTGCAGCACTTTGGATGCCTTTAAGTCTTCTCAAAGGAGAGCTACTTCATGCCCATCATTGTGTGATACTGAATGGTAAGAGAAGGTAACTATATAATTTATCAATCAATGCATTAAAAATGCCCCCAAACAGTGAATTAAGTCAACAATCATCACTTCTCATTTTTTATGGTTTTTGTTAGTTTGGAAACAGCTCAACTGGGCGGTTCTCACTTTGGAGTCTCATAAGGTTGTAGTATTATGTCTGCTGGGTTCTCAGCCCTCTGAAAACTGGGAAGCTTGAGTGGGGCTGGAACGTGCATTTCCAAGATGGCTGACTAACTTGGCTGGCAGGCTGGTGCTGGCTCTAGGCTCAGTGTCTCCATAAGGGCTGCTTGAGGAATCCAAAGCAAAACATATAACACTTTTTTGACCAAAGCTCAAAAGTCACATCCAGTCACCTTCATCTTAGTCTACTGGGTGAGACATTTACAAACCTCTGCCCAGGTTGAGGGGGTAGGGAAATAGACCCCACCTCTTTTTTTTTTTTTTAGACCCTACCTCTTGATGAAGGAATGTAAACACCACATTGTAAGAAGAGAATGTGAGATGGGAGATATATTGGTACAATCTTTGGATTATCTGTCCAAGTAGCTTGCCCTGTTCTTTCTATCTGGTCTTCCTCTTCCTTCTCTTGTTCTTATTTTTGTTCTAAAACTTAACATCAGATTTTTTTTTCAAAAATTTCCCTACTCTTTTTCTCCAAATCTTTTCCCTCTACCTGCATATCTGAGTACAGAAATACCTGTCTTCTTCCTCTGGATATAGGCATTCTTTACCATGAAGAAAGTGAGATATGTCCTAACTGAGACTTTATAAACACTGGTGGAGAAAAGAACTTAAAGATGACCTTAGAATTTTACTCCTCAGTCATAAGCCTGCATTTCTTATCATTTGACTAGGAGCGATATTGATCCCCACTGAAGCAGTGTCTTGGCCAGTAAGTAAATGAAATCATATTTTTCAGTGGCTAGAATAAAACTCTGACTATTACAATACTGTATAGGTATTAATACAATGGAAAATTATTCAGCCTTAAATAGGAAGGAAATTCTGACCCATGCTACAAGCTGCATGAACCTTGAAGACGTGATACTCAGTGAAATAACTCAGTCACAAAAAAACAAATATTGTTTGATTCTATTTACATGAAATTAATACCCAAGTCAAATTCATAGAGATAGAAAATAGAATGATGGTCTCCAGGAGCTCAGGGGGAGAGGGAATGGACTTGTTCAATGAATATGCAGTTTTAGTTTGGGAAGCTGGAAACATTCTGGAGATGAATGGTGATGATAGTCACACAACAATGAGAATGTATTTAATGTACAGAACTGTACACTTAAAAGTGGTTAAAATGGTAAACTTTATGTATATATTATATTTTACATGGTAAAAAAAAAGTAAAGTATATATGTATTAAGGACTTCCTTTATGCCAGGTGCTACATTAAGCATTTTATATGCATTACTTTGTTTAATCCTCATGATAATAATTAATATGAAGTAAAGATGACTAGTATCCCCATTTTGCAGATAAGAAAATTAATGCTTAGAGAAGCTGGTAACTTTCCCATGCAATTGGTAAGTGGAGAAACCAAAATGCAGACACTCCAAAGAAACACTCTCAGCCACTATCTTCTTTCTAAGATCACAGAAATAGAATGAGCTGATTCAGGAGAAATGGGGATAGATAGACAAAGATTATAAAGCCTTAACACAATGGTGGTCTTATAATCTTATTTTTGAGATATGGTAAAAACATTGCCCTTCTAACAGATCCTTCTTTTTCATGCGATACTGCCTATTCAAACCTTAGTGTAGTTTTTTTTATCAAATATCTAGCCCAAGAGTATTGAAACCACCAACACTTCTGTAAAAGCCAAAGAAACTAACAGCATGGAGCTGTGTGTGTGTGTGTGTGTGTGTGTGTATCCTTCAAGGGACAGCTAATATACACCTTCCAGAATTTTCTTCTTTCTCTACATGATATGAAGTAGAGTATAACACAAGGCAAAAAATGAATAGGAATTGGTGAGAACCAAATGAGGAATACGGTGAGACTAAGAGAAGCTGCCACCTAATCTACCTCATAATGAATCAATCTGGAAATATATCTGACAAGGTAAAACCATATCCTATCAACAAAGAGAATGTTTGAACAAAACTGGATCGTGTGGTGCTAGAATTTCCCAGAGTCTCCTATTAATATTGTAGTATGTCCATTGCTTGATTTGAGGTCAAATTGAGACCCGTTTGGACCTCATTTAGAGTCATTTTGAAGTTATTTGCTGCTGAAATTAAATCCTTCTGTTGGGAGAGTATTTTATTGTTAGTGAAAGAACCACAAATGAATAGATAGTTGTTCTCAGTTTTCTCATGCTGGCCAGAACTAGAAGAGAAAATTCCTTCAAGAAAGAAAATGCCCTCCCTTATACTTCAAGTTCTAGAAGACATGAAGAGTTACCAAATTGTATAATACTTTGCCTGATCTTCAAAGATTTCCATCCTACATCCTGAGACCAGAATGGTTTGGCCATTTTTGAGAAACTATTGCATTTAGGGGGATTTGTTCCACAGAAGAATGTGGGGCTAAGAAGTGGAGAGAGGGTGCTAACCTAGAAGCTCAGGCCCCTCTGTTCTTTAGCTTCTACTTCTGGTTTTGTGTGACAGGTACAAGAACACTGACCCCACCACATTCTCCCAGTGACCACCTCACAGCTCTTCAAAGAGGCCCTTTCTGATATGACTCCCTCTTTTCACTGGATTCCCATCTAAGACTGAATGGTAACTCAGAGAAAGGTGGTCTTCTGAAATACACATTTTAAATACATGCCCTCAAATGAGAAGTCATGACCCTAAGAGAACTGTAGGGGCAGAAAAATGTAAGAAAAAAAAAGTTACGGACTTAGAGGTTAGAGCCAATCTTATATCCCAGCTCGGCCATTTACTAGCCTGGTGACTTGAAGAATGTTACAGCATGCTAAACCTCTGATTCCTCATTAAACATGGAGATAAAAAAGATCTCAAACAGATTGCATAAGGTTGTCAAGGGTAAAAAGAAATAAAGCAGAAATTCCTAATACAAAACAATAAACATCATTTCTTTCTCTCATATAGGAACAGTCAGGATTGCTTGAGACCATCTCCTCTCAGTCGCAATGGGAAAGCATTGCCCATCTCCTCAATCCAAGCTTTATCACTTTATTACCTGGTTTGCATGTGAATTGGTTCATTCTGGCACTTAGAGGTAACATATTCTTTCAGTTCCAGTTATCCATGACAATATATTATTTATACTGACTTACTACACTTCAATTTCCACAACTGTTTGGGTTAGAGGATTTTTAGGACCCCCGATTTCTCTGTGAATCACCCCTTATCTTATACAATATACTAAGCAGGAAACACACCACGAATGAAAATGGATGGGCATTTGCAGTGAGTACATTTTAATAGCTGAGCTTGGGTCATTGAAGTTTAAAGTTGAAGATTGTTCTGTAGACATTTGTCTTTTTTTTTTTTTTAAGATTTTATTTATTTGTTTGACACAGAGAGACACAGCGAGAGAGGGAATACAAGCAGGGGGAATGGGAGAGGGAGAAGCAGGCTTCCTGCGGAGCAGGGAGCCCGATGTGGGGCTCCATCCCAGGACCCTGGGATCATGACCTGAGCCGAAGGCAGACGCTTAACGACTGAGCCACCCAGGCGCCCCGACATTTGTCTTGAAGAATGTTTTAATAGCAAAAAGGAGCCTGGCATGGCAAAGGAAAAGAGAGAGCCTCTACCAGGTGGTAGAATGGCCCATGTGAGAAGCAGGCAATATAGATAGAATTCCTATATCCACAGTTGCAGATAATTCATAGGATATGACAGGGTGTCATCTACATGATCTCCAACAGCATAAGAGAGTTTCTTTGCTCTGCATCCTCACCAACACTGGGTATTGTCTGTCTTTTTAATTTTAGCCATTCTGGTGGGTATATTAAATCACAGTGATATCTTTTTGTAATTTTAATTTGGACTTCCCTAAGCAGTAATGTGAATGAGCATCTTTTTGAAAATGTACTGCCCATTTGGATGTCTTTTCCCATCTAGTTTCTTGCTGATTTTTAAATTGTACTATTTGGGGTCTTTTCATATGAATTTATAGGGGTTCTTCTTTTTTTCTTAAATATTTTTATTTATTTGAGAGAGAGAGAGAACATGGTGCGGGGAAAGGCAGAGGGAGAGGGAAAAGCAGACTCCCCGCTGAGCAGGAAGCCCAACGCAGGGCTCGATCCCAGAACCCAGAGACCATGACCTGAACCAAAGGCAGACGTCCAACCGAGTGAGCCACCCAGGTGCCCCTCTAGGGGGTCTTTATGTACATGGGTGGGAATCCTTTATCAAAAACATATATTGCATACATCTTCTCCCAGGTGTGCCTTAAAGATACCTTTCGATGAAGAGAAGCTCTTAGCTTTAATGTAGTAAAATTTATCAATCTTTATGTTTGGTAATTCTTTGTGTATTGTTTAAAAATCTTTCCCTTTCCCCAAATCATGAAGATAGTCTTCTAAAAGCTGGATTGCTTCGCTTTTTACATTTAGATCTACAAAGTACCTGGACTGATACTTGCATATAATATTAGCGAGAGGTTGAGTTTTGCTTTTACTATATAAATATCCCGTTATCCCAGCACAACTTATTGCAGACATCCTCTCCCCACTTCTCTGGAGTGCTACAGATCTGTGTCCTAGGTCGTGTGTCCATATCTGAGTCTGTTTTGCTCTCTATTCTATTCATGTTTGCCTATCCTTGCACCAGTAACCACACTGCTGTAATATCTGTAGTTTCAAAAAATGTTTTTGCTATCTGGTAGAACACCTTTTAATTTTTTTTTTACCTTGTTCTCTTTCTCAAAAGTGTGTTGGCTATTCTTAACATTTTGCCTTCACATTCAAATATTAGAATCAGCTTGTCAGGTTTCACAGTGAGATCTGTTGGGATTTTGAATGGGATTGCACTGAATCTATTTATCAGTGAGGACTGAATTAACACCCTGAAATACTCAGCGCATAAATATGCTTATGTATGTCTCTGCTTAAGGTCTTTAATCATAATGATGATTTATAATTTTCTGTGTAGAGGTTGTGCACATATTTTCTTGTATTTGTTCTTTGGTACTTGGTATTTTGTTATGCTATTGTAAATTTTAAAAAAGTATGTGTGTATCAGCAACAGATTTTATATAAAATATGTCTTGTATTATATCCAGCAGCTCTTTTATATGCTTATCAATTCTAATAATTTGTCTATAGATTATTTTAGATTATACATGTATGTAATATTATCTGTAAATACTAAGTTTTATATATTCCTAATTCCTACAATTTTTATATTTTTCAAAAAGATTTATTTATTTATTTTAGAGACAGAGAGAGAGAGAGACAGAGGGAGAGGGAGGAAGAAAATTAAGCAGACTCTGCACTGAGTGCAGAGCCAGACATGGGGCTCGATTTCACAAGCCTGAGATCATGACTTGAGCCGAAACCAAGTCAGATGCTTAACCACCTGTGCCACCCAGGTGCCCCAGCAATTTTTACATTTTTATTTCTTTTTCTTACGTTAATGCACTGCTTAGGACCTTTATCCAGTATAAACCTGATTGGTGATGATGACAGTAGCATTCTTGTTCTCAATTTCAAAGGAAAAGCATTTTACCATTATGTATAATTCTTGCTTAGGTGTACACGCCCCCCCCACACCCCCATCTTTATCAGATTTAGGAAGTTCTATTGTATTCTAGTTAAGAGTTTTTATGCATTTCATCAAATGAGATGATCATTTTTCTCTATTCTGCTACTATGATGGATTAAATTGCTTGATTATCCAATATTAAATAGTTACAACATTCTTGGAATAATAAACCCAATTTCGTCATGGTATATTATCCTTTTATGCATTATTTGAATTCTGGTTGCTAATATCTTGTTTAGGGCTTTTAGATCTAAGGTTATGACTGAGTTAACCTATACTTTCCTTTATTATATGCCTCTATTAGATTTTAGTATCAAATTCATTTTGTCATCTACCTTTTTTATTCCCTGTTAAAGTGTGTGAGATTGGTGTTATCTTTTCCTTAAATTGTTGATCGATTTTGCTACTGAAGGCAGTGGTTTAGAGTTTCAATTATCTTCAATTTATTTAATATTTTAATAATATTCAGATATCCTATTTCTTGTTAGTTTTGGTTTATTGGATATTTTTAAAAAGAAGTTCACTGGACCTTTCAGAATTGAGATTTCTCAATCTGCCAAATGCGCATTCACCTCCCTACCTCACCAAGTTATGAGAATCAAATGGTATCAGATAGTAGCTTTAGAAAGAACAACTAGATACCCACTGTAAGACAGGATTATTCTTTACCCTTTAAATGCCATGTTTAAATATCCCTGTGCTAGGGACCCCAGGTGATTTATATTTAAATGGTGTCCCCTGGGCTCCCTTCTTCATGTTTTGGTTCGGGCAAGGCCTAAGGGACAACAATGGAATTTCCAGGCTTCTCTACAGTCTTGTGTGCATTTGGATTCTTGGATTGGAAAGGCCAGACTCAAATATAAATCTCAATTCTTAGCAGTGCCCTCTCCCTCTTGCAGGACCCAAGATGTGGCCGCCCGCTTCCCTGCCCACAGCACTGGGTCACCCGCAGACCAGTCCTCCTATTTGACAGCACCCAATGGCATCTGGGAGCCACAGGGAGAGCCTGCATGTCTGAACAAAGAACTGGTGCTCATTCTCAAGAATGGAGTATAAATTGAGGTTCTGGTCCTTTGGGATAAAATCCCACAGTCCCTATACGGTTCTTTCTCGGGCCATCTCAAGTAATTTTGATCACGTAATTAGTACCTCTTGGGCATTCACTCAACACATTGGAAGTCTCCATTCAGATGGGATGGATTCTAAGTCTTTTGGAAAAGGATGAAAGAGTAGAGAAGAGGCAGGTGGGCCCAAGTCTGAGAGGACAACTTGAGGCAGTCACTTTAAGAGACCTCCGTTTAAAACAAGTGCTTCTGCTAACAATTAGTCTGTAATGTAACGGGTCTATAGACTGGGTCTTCTATTTCCTTCACATTTCTTCAAAACTTCTAGGACGGGGCTCTGTGACCGCTGCTGAATTGTATTAGGGACACCTGGCTACTTGGTGCGGCAAGCGTCTGCTTTTGCTCCCAAATCCAGAGCCTCTCCCGACTATCCTTCAGATTTCTAAGAGCCTGTCTTGGGAGCCATCCCCATCTGACTTAAAAGCTTCCGCTGCGCCATCATTCATATTTCATAACCATAACGTAAAAAGTGCTTTACAGCCTAATACCTGATATCCGAGGAATGGACAGAAAACGGGCTAGAAAACTGCCAGAGGTGTGTCCACAAAGTGCAGCCCCTGGGACTGAGCCTGCTGCCAAGGTGAGTAGCACGGAGAAGAGCAGAGAAGAGCAGCTTTTGCTGGTTTCTTATTCCTTGCTGTTTCATGGTGCAGCCCCTCTCCTGGGAGTTTACAGGGGTTCTTGGGGAGAAGGATCAGAATTTTGCTCATCAATCACTGTGTCCATTTGCAAAGCCTTCTTACAGACAAAACCCCACTCCGGTCTTCACGACTCACAGGCAGAGAGGCAGGGTAGGGCTTATTAAGGAGCCAGAGCACTGGAGAAGGTGAGTCCCAGTCTTACCTTTTTCTCCCACTGGTAAGGAGGCTTCCAGGAATGCCTTCACCCCTTAGCTCAACTTTCTCATCCTAAAATGTGTGCCGTGCTGCCTGGCTACCTCCCAGGGTGATTACTGGACTCAAATAAGATTCTGTCTATGAAAAGACTTTTCAGTGTAATAAAAGGCTAGGTCAGTATGAGTTCGCCTAAGATTCCAGAAGAGAAAATGGAGATGAAGAGAAGCCATGACTCACTCAAGGTCCCACGGTACAGTGAAAACATTTTGAGACTTGAACCCCTTTTCCTTACCTTCTTTCCAGTGTTCTGCCCAGAACAGGCTGACTTCTTGGGGCAGTTGTGCATGATTTGATCCCCTGGAGGGCAGGAACTAGGCCACATGTTTTTAACCCATTCAACTGAGGGTCCAGTCAATATCGCCTACTTCCTATTAATTGAAGGACATTCCCAAATGCCATTTAACTCTTCTCACGGGGGTGAGGTTGGATTCAGACATTGTATCTCCACCATCAACAAGGCTGGTGAAAGCAAACTCTTGGCCCCCATCGGCTGCCTCACTCGAGCTGCGTCAAGGACAGGAAGAAAACATTAAGGGGCTGAAGGCTCTACAGACTGTAGAGAAGGAAGACATTCTGAGGTGGGTTCCTGCATTTAAACCAGATTTTCCTGCTTTAATATTTTGCTAGGAAGGGTGTTCTGAAAGGATCTTTTTCACAAATCTGGCCAGGACCTGGAGTGGGAAACTTCATTTTGGAGTAAAACGACTGGAAAAGTCCCTGCCCCCGAGTCGTCTTTGTTTCCTTGAGAAAAATGTACACGAGACTCTGCCCAGCACTTCTCCAAAGCTACTGGCATTTTTTTGGCCTCCATTGAACTACCCCAGTTGCCTATATATAGCCCTGTCTTGTGTAAAGAATTTAAAAAGCATTAGGATGCAGAAATCAAAGAGACAATAAATTTAAAACCAATCTTATTGTCTGCAGCCTAAAGTGTTATTCAGATCAAAGGGGAGGGGACATCTGGCTTCTGGCTTGCTACAAAAGGCAGATCACATTACCTACCAATCCCTAGATTCAGCCACTCTCTCAATTTTGGGGTCTAGAGAATATGGCCTTTTTATCTCCCAGTGAAGCATAGTAGGCGAATCAGTCAGACCTCCTGATAACTTTTGAAAATAAAACAAGCTCCACAGGATTATATAAACACGTTCTCATGAGTTCTGCTCTGTGCCCCTCTGGTCATGTGTGAGGACTTCAAGAGCTCAAAGCTACGCCATGTTGTCACCACTCTTCTCCACCCCCACCCCCAAAGCTAGAACTTCCTGATTTGCAAATCTAACTTCATAATTGAGAATGCACATCCACATGTGATTATTTGAATCTGTTTTGCCCAAATCACAGTTCGGAACTGAGTCACAGAAGGTGTAGTTGAAAACTTATGTGCTGCTTTGCCTCCATTTGGGTAATAAAAGGATAGATTTGTCTTACCATAAATTTTCCATAATAACAGCTTTGAAAGAAGGGTCAATTGTGCTCTTTGTCTAGCAATTCACTTAGTGTCTGTTACAAATTCTATGCATGATCCAGTTCTAAATTACATGAATAAGATCTTCCTTGTAGCATAGATGAAGGGAATTATAGCAATTTAAAGGCCATTATTAAGATCCCAAACCAGGAACTCTTTAGTCAGTACTTAGCTCTGATTTCATTTGTTCTCGTGAGCAAATAGCACAAATGCAGGATATGGTTTTTGTTTTGTTTTGTTTTTCAGAGCGTTTCGGAGGGGAACAAAGAAGTAAGCATCACATTTAAGAACATCTTCCAGTAAGTCAGTGTCTCAACACAACCCTCTCTTTCCTTACCAATTCCTCACCCCCAGAAGTCTAGAGAGGAATGCAGACAAAGCAATATGAATTCTGTCTTGGGGACATCACATAAAGCTCCCAGCCTCACTCTTCTTTTACTGATATGGTTCACTCACTTTCCAATATAATGGAGAAGGGTTCCAGTATAATGGACAATGAAGGATCCCCAGAAATTGCTTGCCATCGCTCAGCCCCACTTGTATATTTCTGTTTCACCACAATTTTCTTTTACTGATTCCAGTTTCTCCCTGCATTAAGGGCCTTCCAGAAACTTACAAAGAAACCAAAATCTTCTCTTTACTTATCACCTAAGCCTTCTCTTCTCACCCATTCTCACCTACCCCAATCTTTCAGGGGAAAGGTTCTCTGCCAATCAAAAGTTAGAAAGAAAAAAATCACCAAGAGATTTGGCATGATCCTAGACTCATAATCTCCAAGAGACATGATTCTTTTCGATAATCCTACTTTGTTTTTCACTAAGATTGCCATTTTGTTGCTGATAAAAGACTGTCATTCAAAATACAAAGAATCTTTGGTGAGAGGTAAGAATGAATGGGGAAATTTTAATTTTATTACATGAGAGTTTCAGAGTAGAAGGATATTTGAGGGTCTTCAGTTTCTGGAGGGAATTGGAATTAAGATTTTTCAGTGTAGCATCTCATCAACATTAATGGCTCTTTAATTCCATTTTTTTCTCACAGAATAGTTAACATACAATGTTATATCAGTTTCAGGTGTACAACATAGTGATTTGACAATTCTAAACATTATACAGTGCTCACCACAGTGAGCGTAGTCACTATCTGTCAACATACAGCATTATTACAATATTATTGACTATATTCCCCATGCTGTACTTTTCATCCCAATGACTATTTATTTTATAACTGGAAGTTTGTGCCTCTTAATCCCCTTCACTTATTTCTCCTATTCCCTCACCCTCCTCCTCTGGCAAACACCAGTTTTCTGTATTTGTGAATGTGTTTCTGTTTTTTATTTGTTTCTTCATTTATTTTTTTAGATTCCACATATAAGTGAAATCATATGATGTTGTCTTTCTCATTTCACTTAGCATAATATCCTGTGGGCCCATCCATATTGTTGCAAATGGCAAGATTTTATCCTTTTTTTACGGCTGAGAAATATTCCATTGTATGTATAACCACATCTTTATCCATTCATCTATCGATGGACCCTTGGGTGGCTTTCATATTTTGGCTATTATAAATAAGGCTACAATAAGCATAGGGGTGCATGTATGTTTTTGAATTGGTGTTTTTGTTTTTCTTTGGGTAAATACCCAGTAGTGGAATTACTGGCCTTAATTCTGTTTGGCGAGTAGTGCCCAGTTTGCTCCGAATCCTGGGTGAACATCAGAAGTGAAATTTTGGTTTGAGTCTGACATTCCAGTTCTGACAGCATGTCTAGAAAGGAAGTGAGAATTGAAATGTTTTGTAAAATATAGAGGGAGAGGCCAAAAGGGAAGAAACTAACCTTTCCAGCCTTGCTATGAACACCTGGAAGGGTGAATTTTCAGCATCAACTATCAGGACAAGAAAAGTAAATACCATTATCTTCTTTTACACCAACTTCAATTCTTTTTCTTGTTTTTTTCTTTACAAACACAGCCCCTCTCTCTGGAGCTCACTGCCATGTCCCATAAACTTTTCTGGATGCCTTCCTGCTCTCAAAAAAGTCTGAGAGGTAGGGGTTACACATATCCTAACTACTAACCACTAAAAGAAAAACTTAATGCTTCTCTTAATTACAGTGTTGAGAACATAAACTAGCCTATGGCTCTGAAAAGACCCAGGAGTGCCTCCAAACAGGCTTTGTTCATTATGATAGGCCTATGTATTTATTGGGGATACAATGACAGAAATGTTATGTCTTCCTCCATTAGGGAGCCTAGATTTTACTTTGATAGACATATACTTTTTCTCAGATTTCTGAAAAGTAGACCTTTTTTTTCTACCCCTACCCTCTCCCGTGCCTCCAGAAAGCACATCAATAAAGCCAAACTTTGGCAGAAAAGGAAAAATGTAGAGCAGAAATGAATGTCTAATAACTGAAAGCATCGTGGACCTTATTATGGTTTATTGCCTTATTCGAGGGGTCCGATGAGCACACTGTAAAGAGTGTGGCACTAAATTTATTAGCATGGTTATCATATTTCAGACAAGACATAAAACTGAGGGGACCCACTTCTTCCATCCCATGGCACCTTCTACAAGAAGAGTCGAGTTATCCTGGCGCAGATCCAGATCCTACTATCTGATGACTTACATTTCCTTTGTAGTATGCCTGGGAGACATTAGAGGGTCTTCCTCTTTGAAACTCAGTCACTACCATAAGCACGGCCAAAACGGGCTTCTGCAAAGGGATGTGGGAAAAAATTCTCACATCCCAGCATGTGGATCAAGTGAACAGAATGAGCAGTGTGGCCTGAAGTAGGAAGCCGAGCTAGATCACCAAAGTGTTCCTAGTTTGTCACTGAATAGTTTCCTGACTCACCTGACCATAACAACTGCTCATTATTTGTGTGAAAACCCACACAGATTCCAAACTGGCTGCTCCATAGCAAGTTTTTCTGAACTCCATGCACTGCAGCCTCTGCCTCAAAAAAAAAAAAAAAAAAAACAAGTTTTATTTACTTTGACTTGTCCTTATCACCTTTAGGCTTAATTCCAGAATATTTCCCTAGAAGACTTAAAAGAAAGAAAATTACTCATGCAATATTGTGCAAATCACTTTGTCTCCACTTTCAGCTTCTTCACCTCTAAAATGGAAATCATTTAAATATGCCCTGCCTTTCTTTCAAAATTAATGAGGATCAAATAAAATGATGTCTGCAAAAGTGCATGTTTTTCTCTTTTAAAGCACTTTACGAAATCAAGTTGTTATCAAGTTATGATGGGTATAAATTTGTGTTGGACTCAGATAAATACACCATATGGATTTCTTGTTTCTTTCTTGTGGAACTCCACTAAAAGGCAAAGTCAAGAATTTAAAAGGTATGAACATACAAGGACAAAGAATAAGGAAAAGAGACACTGGCAATTGAGTGATTTCAGTAAACGTTTTAGGAGATGGGAGGCAGACAGGGGAGAGTGGGATCGGCAGTGTAATGGAAGTTTCAAACTGACTTAAAAATCCTAAGAGAATCAAGGTTCAGAGGCAAGGTGTGGCAGAAGATGGTTGTCACAGTGAGCTGCAAAACTGACCCTGAGGAGACTGAGTCAAAGTTTATCTACAGAAGAGCTGAGCCCTCCTATCCTTGCTCCCAGCCTGTGAGGTCCTTTGTGGTAGGTTAAAGATGGCCACAAATTACCTGACACTTCTCTCATCAAGAGGTGGGGATATCTCCTTCTTGAATCTGGGCAGGTCTAGACTCCTTTGACCAATTGAATATGGTAGAACTGGCACTGTATAGATTTTCAGGCCAGCTTTATCTTAGAACACGTGTTTTTGAAACCCAACCACTAGGTGCAGAAGCTTAAGACACATGAAGAGAGTATTTGAAGCTCAGCTTCCAGCTGTAGCCAGCATTGACTACCAGCCTTGTGAGTGAGTCATCAGGGGCATTTCTTCCTGTTGAGCATCCAGTGATCCCAGCCCCAGGTGCTGTCTTACTGCACCAGCATGAGAAACCTCTAACCAAGGAAGAACCACTCAGCTGAGTTCAGGCAACTCACAGAACCATGAGAGGTAGTAATAATAATAAAAGATTAAGCTACTCAGTTTTGGAATAGTTTTTCATGCAACAATAGACAACTAGAACACCAGGTTACACCAGGCAACCTTAAACCTCATCTGACCTAACTTGACCACTGAAAAAGTTTATTCTTTCACGAAATTAAGCCCCAAATTTTGACAATTAGGCTTAACATACTGTGTTATAGATTATCCTTCAATGAACTATTTTAAATGTTTAAATTAGGTGATGCTTAAATTTATTTTATTATACCATCAATAGCCAATTACAAAGAACCAAGTATTTCTAGGAAAGAAAATAAGAAAGAAAGAAAGAAAGAAAGAAAGAAAGAAAGAAAGAAAGAAAGAAAGAAAGAAAGAAAGAAAGAGAGAAGAAAGAAAGAAAAGAAAGGAAAGAAAGAGGAAGGAAGGAAGAAGGAAGGAAGGAAGGAAGGAAGGAAGGAAGAAAGAAAGAAAGAAAGAAAGAAAGAAAGAAAGAAAGAAAGAAAGAAAGAAAGAAAGAAAGAAAGAAAGAAAAGAAAAGAAAAGAAAAGAAAGAAAGAAAAAAAGAAAGAAATTAAACCCAGAAATCTTTGAATTTCAGGACAACCAGGCCAAATAAAGACAGAAATGAGGCATGGTGCTAATAAATGAAAATCTTCATACTGAACAAAGAGTTCACCCAGCCTTTTTCACCCTCACAGAAGACTAGTAGCTTTCCCCCCAAAAAATGTATAGGGGATTCTTGGGAAACTTAATAGCCCTGGAGAAAAGATCATTAAATATTAACATTTGGGAATTCCCCCAATTAAAAGGTTGCCTCACCACCAGATTAGCTTGCAGTGAAGGATACCAGCTTAATAACCTTCTCGCACACAGATCTTCTCAACTGGCTTATTAGAGCTCTTAAATATAACACACCACTAAGAATCACCAGTATCTTGGGAGAGCCAGAAATTAATGCACACATACACACCTAAGAGAGCCAGAGTTAAACAGAGACAATATAGAGAATAGGGGAAAAAAGATTACATCCATGAAACAAAAGCAGAATATTATTTTTTTCAAGTAGGCTCTGCACCCAATGTGGGGTTCAAACTTACGACCTCAAGATCAAGAGTCACATGCTCTACCAACTGAGCCAGCCAGGCGCCCCAGAACATTATTTTAAAATAGAGAGAGGGAAGGACAACAAGCAGAGACTCTTTAGAAACAACAACAAATGTGACTGCCCAAATTTAAAATTCATGGGAAGATACATTAGTTTACTATGAATTCGTGGCTTAAAACAACACACATGTATCATCCTACAGTTTCTGTGGGTTAGGAGTCTGGGCACAGCTTAGCTGGGTCTTCTGTTCACAGTCTCACAAGGCAATGATCAATGTATCAGCCAGGACTAGGTTCTCACAGAAGCTAGAGTAGGGAAAAACCTCTAAGCTCCTTTAAGTTATTTGCAAAATTCATTTCCTTGCAGCCATAGATCCATGGCAGCTTGCTTCTTCAAAGCTAGCAATGGAGAGAGAGAGACAGACCCCGGCAAGATGGGAACTACACTTTTATGCAATCATGTTCCCGTGGTGATCACATGCATCCTGTCCCCTGTGCCACATTCCATTTATTAGAAGCAATTTCCAGGTCCCAGCCACACTACAGAGAAGGGTATCGTGCAAAGATACGAATACCAGGAAATAGTATTCTTGGGGAAATCACTTAAAACATCATGGAAATAAGGATAAGTGTGTGTGTGTACATGTATATATTTGAATATATATATTTTTTAAAAAACTAAATTAATGAGAAAAGATCAAATTGGTACCTCCAGGATCAGCTGAACAACAAAGGAAACCTAAATTCAGCAGTCAATAGTAATTGATGGTCATAACAATGTAAACTCTGATTGTTGATGTAATCAAAATTTGTGGCACAAATTGTGTAGGGTGGAGTGAGTGAAACGGAGAATGAACTACCTGTCTTCTTTATCATAACACAGTGTTGGCAGACAATATGTAAACTTAAAAGTAAGAAGTAGAAAGATGGATGCAAGGGCAGAAGAAACAGACATTTTCAGCAGTCAACTCTGAGAAATGAGACTGAAGGAGTCAAGTAGAATTGCTGGGACAAGAGACTGATGTTTTTCATTGTAAGCCTTTATTTTTTTTTTTTTTTTTTTTTTTTTTTTTTTTTTTTTTTTATTTGACAGAGAAAGACACAGCGAGAGAGGGAACACAAACGGGGAGTGGGAGAGGGAGAAGCAGACTCCCTGCCGAGCAGGGAGCCCGATGCGGGACTCGATCCCGGGACTCCAGGATCATGACCTGAGCCGAAGGCAGTCGCTTAACCAACTGAGCCACCCAGGCGCCCTCATTGTAAGCCTTTAAATGCTGTTTTCTTTCACCCCTGTATTCATGAATTACTTCGATGTGGCATCTTGCCCTCTTGGCTCCTAATCCAGTATCCTTCTAGATTGTCTCCTAAACTATAGAGCATAGAAAGCTAAACACTCATACCTTCCAGACAAATTTAGTGACTTGCTTTTGACAAATGAGAGAAAGCAAAAGTAAGGCCTGTGGCTTTGGAGGCTAAGTCATGAAATGTGCCGTGGCTTCTTCCTTGTTCTCTCGTGGATGACTCACTCTGGAGGAAGCCAGTTACTGTGTTATGAAGAGACGTCCACCCTGTGAGGAGCTGAGGCCTCCAGCCAATAGCCATGTGAGTGAACCGTGATGGAAGTGGGTTCTCCAGTCCGTCAAGTCTTTAGAGGTCTGAAACCCATGCTGACACCTTGCCTGCAAACTCCTGAGAAATTCTGAGCCAGAATCACCCAGTAGAGTCATTCCCAGATCCCTATCAGAAAATATGTGAAATCGGGGCACCTAGGTGGCTCAGTCGATTGAGCATCTGCCTTCGGCTCAGGTCACGATCTCAGGGTCCTGGGATCGATTGAGCCAGGCGTAAGGCTCCCTGCTCAGTAGGGAAGCAGGAAGTTTGCTTCTCCCTCTCCCACTGCCCTTCTCCCCCTGGTCATTCTCTCTCTTTCTCATAAATAAATAAAATCTTTTTAAAAAATATGTGAGATAATAAATGTTTGTTGTTTTAAGCTACTGAGTTTTGGCATAATTTGTTACAGAGCAATCTCTAACAAATACAAGGTGATTCATATGTTGGCCAGACTTCTGGCATTATCTCAATTCAGTATGAAAAATTCTTTCATCAAGATACTCAGTCCATCTTTTGGCTCTGCTTTTCTGTGTGTAGAGGCTTTGTTCTTCAGACAATTTCATCCATATACCTGGAAAAGATGACTGTCAACAGATTTTGGTCTACAGGCTTAGGATACTAGAGGAGGGGAAAAAATCTTGTTTCCCCCAGCCTCCGTATTTAAGTCTGAAGGAAGATTCTTATGGACTCAGTTTGGGTTTCAAGCTTGTTTTTAAAACCAACCATGGTGGTTAAGTGGAATGAGTATTCTGATTTTCTAATATGGTCAAATGTCACCCCTATGCCTACAGAGGGGATAGGAATAAAACACAACAGTGGTAAGAAGCCTCAATGACACCACAAGAGAATGAGGGAAGGGTGGGTCCAAAAAATTAAAAGTTTTTTTTTTTTAAGATTTTATTTATTTATTTGAGAGAGAAAGCAGAACGAGAGCAAGAGAGCACACAAGCGGGAGTGGAGGACCAGAGGGAGGAGAAGCAGGCTCCCCTAGGAGCCGGGAGCCCAATGCGGGACTCGATCCCAGGACTCCGGGATCATGACCTGAGCCCAAGGCAGACACTTAACCAACTGAGCCACCCAGGCGCCCCCTCCCCACCAAAAATAAAAGTTTTAAGGAGAAGAAATGCAAGAAGTAAAAAAACAATACATATCTACTTAAAAGCCCAACCCAAATATAACCTCTGCTGTCATTATGGTATAATAATAAGCTTCTTCATTCAAAGTGTCAGCATTGGCACTGGTGGAATGGAATGTCTGGAAGGCTGGGAAGCCCATTTCTAATGGACTCTTGCTACATTGTTTAATGATAAATACACAGGTTAGAGAAAGTGGTTTCAGCCATAAACATAAGAGACAGTAGAATTGTTCTGTGAGCATCAGTATTGAAGTCTTGTTTTTATGATAATGGGGAACAGTGGCAATAAGGATAATTATCTAAAATACCTTGAAATAGGGGCTCCTGGTGGCTCAGTCATTAAGCGTCTGCCTTCGGCTCAGGTCATGATCCCAGGGTTCTGGGATCGAGCCCCTCATCGGGCTCCCTGCTCAGCAGGAAGCCTGCTTCTTCCTCTCCCACTCTCCCTGCTTGTGTTCCTGCTCTCGCTATCTCTCTCTGTCAAATAAAATAAAATAAAATAAAATACCTTGAAACAGTCAATGATTTTAAAACCTCCTGCCCACTGAATTTGTTGGTGCAATTGGAGGAAATGGACACTGGTAATCCTCTACTTGGTAATCACCATCAAATTCATAGGAGGAGGGCTAGAGCTGCCTTACTTCAAGGCTTTATCTTTTCCCACTTAAGCTGTTGGCAACCATATAGAGTTAGGGATGCACACTTTGGTGATGAAACTATCAAGATATGCAAAGAAGAAATTACTATAAAATTTGAGAGTGTGATTATTAATTGTGGTATGGGAAAGGGTTAAGATTGAGGTGGGGCTTAGGAAAACTTCTGGAAAAGCCAGGAGAAAAAATTCATTTCTTAACCTAATGGTAGTTATAAGGGTATCTACCTTACAACAATTCTTTGCTGTAAGTTTTGAAATCAGGAGGTGTCAGTCCTTCAACTTTTTTCTTCTTTTTCAAGATGGTTTTGGCTATTTTGGGTCCCTTGCATTTTCATATAAATTTTAGGATTAGCTTTTGTCCATTTCTGCAAAGAAGCCAGTTGGGATTTTGATAGGGATTGCATTGAATCTGCAATAGAATTCTTCTAACCCATGGACATGGGATGTCTTTCCATTCATTTTGTTTTTTTTTCATTGCTTTAAACAATGTCTTATAGTTTCCCATATACAAGTCTTGCACTTTCTGTTATATTTATTCCTATATTTATTCCTCTTTTTGATGCTATAGTAAAGGAATTATTTTCCTAATTTCATTTTCAGACTTGCTCTTTGCTAGTGTATAGAATACAATTAATTTTTGTATATTGATCTTGTGTCCTGCAATCTTGTATACTCATTTACCAAGCTCTTGCTATGGTCTGAATTGTTGCATCCACCCCAAAATTCATGTTGAAATCCTAACCCCCAAGGTGATGATATTTGGAGGTGGGAATCTTTGGGATGTCCTTAAGTCATGAGGATGGAACCCTCATGAATGGGATCAGTGCCTTACAAAAGAGGCTCCAGAGAGATCTCTAGCCTCTTTCACCGGGTAAGGATACAACAAGAAATCTGGGACCCAGAAGCATGCCTTCACCTGACCATACTGGCAACCTGATCTCAGACTTCCAGTCTCCAAACTGTGAGGAATAATTGTTGTTGTTGTTGTTGTTTTCCATAAACTACCTGTCTGTGGTAATTTTGTTATAATAGCCTGAATGGGACTAAGATAGCTCTAATATTTCTTTTGTGGATTCCTTAGGATTTCTACATACACAATCATATCATCTGAAAATATAAGTGATTGTAAGTAATAGAATGTAGTAACTCTTGAAATCAGGCTCTCTCCCACTCCCCAGGATTCATTGTTGTTGCTGTTTGTTGTTTCTTTGTTTAACAGTGACTTTTATGAACTAATTCAATAAAGTCTGTATTTTTTGTTGTGTGTTGCCACTGAAATCCCTGCTTGGTTAGTTTAGTGGTCAGCTGATAGCTGAACAGTGATTTCCTTAAACACTTGGAACCAATAAGTCTATCAGTCTTTGCCAAGGGGTTCTGTATAAATGTTGGGGCACACCTTCAGTACTCAGGCAGTTGACAACTGGGCCTTAGCCTTTACTTCCTGCTTATGCGGAGGCTGATGATCAGCCTGAGGTAAGAGCTTACGGTCTTCTCAGATTCTTCCTGGGCATGTAGAAAGCCCTGGGCATGTACACAGCCCTATGCATGCTTTTGGCCTTCTAGATTCCCTATACTATGTTGGAGCTTTTCAAAGCGCAAAGAAAATCTCATTCCCCTGTGTTCAACATTTTGCTTGCCCCAACTGCTATCCTCTACTTCACGCAGCCACAAAAATAATCAATTGCCTCTAACTGTTTTCAACAAGGCTCTTCACACTGGGCAGCTTCCAATCAGGTCAAATAAAGATAGCCTTGCAAGTGGGGGTCTCCAGGGTCTGACAGACAAGTCAAATAATGACATTTCTCTGGGTATTTGGCTCTGAAAGAATTCCAATCCCATTCTACCCCCTCCAGGGGCTGCTAGATGGCTGGTTTTCACTGTAGTTGCAGGCTGTTGGTTTTTAAGTCTTCTATAGAACTGAAGAGGGAGGATGAGAACAGGGCAAGTTACAATATCACAGTGTTTGTTGTTCTTACAGAGATCCAGCCTTTTTCTAGAATAAACGCTCCCCAAACTGCTGCAAGCCCTCAGTTAATTTTCAAAGTTCTAAAATATCGGTTCTGGTTATTTTTGCCAATTTCTCGTTGATTTTATGGAGAATGTTCAGAGCTCCTCACTCCAACATTTTTGCTGATATCCTACCATGTACTCTGGTTTTTTAACCTAAAATGCCTTTCTATATCCATTCCCACTACCCTGTTCAGATGTTGCCTCCTAGATGTGGGTGTGGCTTTCCTGAGGACACTGTCTCCTTGCTACTTGCTGTCCTCTTTCCCCTCTAAGTCCAAGGAGGCCGTAACAAAAAGAGAGGTAGCAAAGAGCCTTTAAATGCTTTACAGCTAGGGCTCCTGATGATGCCAACTACAACCTCGGGGTGATTGTAGTCATTAAATGTGAATAATCAAGAGTTGGACCTATTTTTAGAGTGCTGTGCTCTGTCCTTAAAAGAATAACTGATAAAGTTGAGAATATCACAGTTTTGCCTAGTGCTTAAGGGTACACGTGTTGCAGTGAAACCACGTAAGTTCACCACCTCCTAGCAGGGATAATAATGGCATATATACAATCTATGAAGATTGTGGGGAACAATTCAAATAAAATCCGTAGCACAGAGTCTGGCCTAAGCACTCCATACATAGTTGCTGGGATTTTCATCACCACGGTCAGAGCACCAATGCCTTGTAGAA